GAGCTAGAACAAGTTTAGGAGAATATGATAAATTCATTGTATTTTGAATCCTTCCCTTCAACTGCATACAGAATATGAGTTCATAAGATACATGTAGAGAGAGAAATAAAATCCACATAATTCGCTTATTAAGAAGGTAATAGTCAATTCAAGACATAATAATATAATTGATACGGATTATGGAGGTTTGTGATTAATTAAAGTCATCCTGTATTTAGATAGTTAGGTTATCATCCTCCTACATATGACCACTCAAAATGGAATCAAAAGATGATTCAAAATTGCATTCTGATCTTCTTTTTCTACCAAAAGAAGAATTCAGACACCTTTGACCCATGCGCCTTAAAGAATGTACACTCTAAATTCAACAACGTCATGTATTGTCAAACTGATGAAGTTGTGATAGACAGTCCCTTGAGTCATATTAGACCTGATAACTTTATGGAGACCCCTGGGCACACAAATGTGAAGTATGCAGTTGAGGAGACCACCTTTTCTAGTAAGTAAATTCATAGTACATTCGTTGTTTGAAATATTTTGAAACACGCCTTGTATTTGCTTAGTCTACACAGCAAAGTACACCAAAACATACAGTTTACAATCGAATATGAACAGAATGATAAGTTTCACTTCCTAGATTTTGGAATTCGACAAACTATAGACGGTAATATAATGAGATGCATCCATCGTGAAGATTCTTTGAGTGGGATATATCTTAACTTCAACAGCTCTCATTATAAAAGGGGCCTATGAAAACAGTTTGAAGTTGTATAAGATACTGGAAGAGGAAATGACTACTTTTGAAAATTGTTTTCATAACGACTAATATCTACAGAAATCCATCTAAAATACAAGAATATAACAACTAAAACTGCAAAGCATGATATAGTCAGAAAAAAGGCTGTTTACTTAAATCTTGCCTCCAAAGGTTTTTATGTTTCTGGAAGAATCAGTTACAGAATAAATGCTGCTACAAAAAGGACGCATCCAGCTGCTTGGTTTATTCCACTATAACAAAGGAATTGCTCACTGAGACACTTGAAGGTTGACAAGAACATACTTTATATAACCTTCAATTGCATATACTGGTCCACATGTACGTGCCAAAGCACACATACTGGATGGAGAGAAAGGTTTTGTGACTGCATTTCTAAGCATATTCCAAAGAATTTGCAACCAGGAGGGAGGAAAGTCTTCAACAAACCTACTGCTGGTCACATTGTTAATAGTGGACATGAGGCCGATATCCAGAAATCGTTCAAAAGTAGTTAGTAAACAGATGAATTCGAAGCTGTAAGACTTACTCTGAATATTCACGTGTCAACTTAGGGCTCTTTTTTGACATTTCCCTCTGTTGCTCATCCTTAATGTCGAAATCAAATCATTGGTTATCTTGTGACATCTGTACGGGAGCCTATATACCAACAGAAGTTGATCAGCTTGATCTGAACCAATCAATATTGGGAAATGACGATGTGAAACTATATCCACTGCACAAGAAGGGCTAAAATAACCCAGTAGCTTAGTAGAAAGCCTGATCTCCAATAAATTGTTGGGTGCTGAGTTCGTCAAGGAGTGGGAGATCACTTACTTCAATGCAGGCAGGTACTTCCAATCGACGAGTCTCATAAGGGGCGAAACGCATGTCCTATTATCAACTTTTAATTATTCTTCATGCTTAATATTTGAGCACTTTATGGTAAAAAATAATTAAATTAGAATTATTGCATGATAAACAGTACAAATTTCAAAAGAAACCACTTTAGAATTGACGGTGTTCAATTTCGGCAACGTTTGTCGGTGGATAATTCGACTCATGGTTAGTTTTATTACTAATAGAAATGGGTACCCGAAACCATGATTTTGGAAACTAAGGTTAAGAAAGTCGAGCATCTGTAGTATTTATAATAAGATAGAGTTTGTGTAAAAAAAATATGGTCGCGGGTTTTTGGCATCGGTTTCAAAGCATTTGTTTTCCGCATTCTTCAAGTTACTTCCAAGCAGTATAATGTTGTTATTGTCATTCATGGTGTTTTCTTTTTTCATTGTTGACCTGGATCATAATTAGCATCGATTGTTCCAAGTAGTTATTTACTGTTCTTTTAAATAAGTGGATATACTGTTGTGTTTTGTGCTAATTGCTTAAAAATTGCACTTTTTTGTCATCTTACTAGTTACCCAACTAAGATGTCAATAAAGTTTACACAGTAAACCACCCATCTATGATCAAACATTTTGATGTAACCAGATATACTACTGAAAAACATAAGTAGCTAGAAATCATCAAAGTTGGTGTGTAAATTTCTTCAGTCAAATCAGATTGATTTACTCACAAGAAGGCCTGTGTGCTCATTTTAGTTTGCGATGATCAACAGTGTACATGAACATGCTCAATTCAGACAGCCGAATCATTTATCCTACACTGATTGATCTAAATCACATAGCTGAACTTAGGCGAGATGAACAATTATACTGGATGATATGAGTATAAACGAGTATATCTCTGATGACCTGGGTACTAAACTAAAGGAAGGACTGCCTAGTTTTGAGACCACTTTAATTTGACCACCGAAATCTACATTTCAACCTGAATGGTTTCCAGTTATTCACTGTTTCACTTGCTCCTTTTATTCAGAGTTTTTAAAAATCAGATTATCCGTCATCTTATAAAGGACTGTGATCCATTGAAAGTTGGGAGAAATGAAGAGCCATATCAATTTAACTTCCCACTGTGCTAACATTTATATTGATTAATGCTGACTTGGTTAATCAGTCAAATGAAGACTGTTTTCATTATGAGAATACACTTTAAATTTTTAGGTTAATGAGTATTTTAATTTTGATGCAGCATTCATCACAGATTGACATTAGTTGGAGAACCGTTGAAAACCTAAGAACATTGAATGGCTAGTTCATCCTAGTACTGAACATCTCTTCACTAGCCAGGCTATGGGTCTGTGCTGCTGAGGAGTTCCATACTCGGATGAAAGAGCTGTCCAGTGCTTCTAGGTTTCCAATAGTTCTCTAACTGATGTCACTTGATGACAAATACTACCTTATGACGTGTCATGAACGGATATATGTGTCAGTTACTATTTCCTATTAGTCTCCAAAGGTATACGTACCGTGTATAATTCTATGAATTGACTGGTAAAACGCTTAATAGTCATGTGTGAATGAAAAAGTAGTTTATAAAAATCTATGAAGTCAAAGAAAACTGTTGTATGAACGCTTCTTTGTCACTTGAATTCATTTCTCGAACATTCAACTTTCGGTGATGCATTTATTTCATGACATATAACACCAAACTACACTAACGCATCACTCGGTCAACTTGATTGACAGATTATTATTAGTGCCGAAAACTGAAGAATAGAAAGCCTAATGGGATACTCGAAAATAAATAATTCATCTACATAATCGAGTCCTACAAGAGCTTAATCAGGACCTGAACAGCTGATGGGTGCTAAAAAACACGAAACTTAGGTTAAGTGGATCTTCTTACTCCTTAACCTTTAGTGCAGTACTTTTAGCAAATTTACTTCATATATTTCCTAAACTGGTCATTGCAAAACACTGTTAATGTAGTTTTTCATTGAACACCTGAGTAACTATGGTGCAGCGAAACATGAATTTAGTGGATTCAGCTAAAATACCATCTCCAGACTGCTTTGATAAACTGAAAAAGTGTATGAACATCACTGTCTCTATGGCAACGACATAAGCTTTTCCTTAAGTAAATAATGTTACATTTTAGTCAACAAACCACTCTTGTTTCTATCGCAGCTATCAAAATCTGAATGACTATTTCATAATTCAAGGGTTCTAAAAGGGAGCGATGTCTAACCATTCATATGAATAAAGTTTAAAGAACACCGTCTAAAACGACTGGTGGTCCTGGTGCCCCAGTTGCCTAGTGGGTAACGCTGCGGTGTTTAGAGCGATAGGTGCTGGGTTCGAGTCTCGCTGGAGACATAATCACTTGCTGGAGCGCAGGTATATTCGTCTGACGAGCCTTAAATCAGATGAAACTCGTGTCCTGAAACCCAAAGCAAATTAAAGTATCTGAAGCACTTATATACCTCCTGGCAGTGTTTATGCATAATGAAGTAAAATCTTAACTGAAAGTCATGAAATACTAACGATGGTTTATGTTTTTGAATATAAAGAAAAATTTATGACTTTAAAAAAAATATCTGATGCAAGATCTTTGTGAAAGAGAAAAAACAAAGGTATTAAGTAGCACAGACATTCCTTTAATGGTGATTATCATGGAAACGCCTGAAACGTTCAACTTGTATTTCCATTGAAGAAACAGAAAGTAGAAAGAAGGAAACAAAAATCTTAAGTATGTAGTCCAGGATGAATGTCTTATTACTTCATTATATTCAAAGAATCATATTTTGTATTCTTGTTTTAACCCATAGTAATTTGTAATTTTCTTTTCTAAGCTACGTTGGATTATATATTATGAGAAGAAATAAGCTGAAGAAAGAGGCATCTAGAGTTTGATAACAATCAGATTATGTTGTGTACCTGTGTGTGTGTGTGTGTGTGTGACATCGCATGAACTTACGTTTTTCAGTGTGCATTCCCCCCTCTATGTACTTGCATTCTTGTATGCGCGAAAAAACAAACTATTTTGATTCATTATTCAAACTATATTTGTTTGCTAGTTGAACAATGACTTTTCTGCTACATGATATGAATCATAATAGAAATGGAAAGATGAAGAAGAAATCAATCGCCACCAATTTGTTTTGTGTGCATTATTTTGTTTTAAGCAACAAAACAAAGCGCGCATCTTGTGATGTAGTTAAACAAGTATTGACAATTGAATGCATAAATTCACTCCATTAGTATTTGATGTTTTACGTGGAATGAATAGTTAGTATTCAGTGTATCAAGAATTTTACTGTATATATGTTGATAAGCTTTGGCGGCAGACTGTGAAAAAAACTATTTTTCTAAGAGAATGTTCTACTTTGGTATTAACTACAATGTATAAAGTAATATGGAGGCAATTCTCTGAATTAATTTGTGGAATTGAAAATGAAACAAATGGACAGGCTAAAATTATATCATGGCATGGTGATAATGATCATGACAATGCTGCTGATGATGATGGTAATAGCTCCGCTGCTAATGATAATAATGAATTAGATGAATTTCAGTTTCGACTGAAAATAAGCCCCAATAAAGGACCATATGCACACGCTGAATATGAATTTGAAGTGAGTGTTTTATCTGATAAAGAATCAATTTTAAACGTGTCTGTAAATAACTATAATTTCTCAACAAAAAAAACGTCTTCTGATCCATTACCATTTTCACTGCCAAACTGACGCATAGGTCAGAATAGTGCATAGCTTACACTAAGAGACTTTTTTCCACTTGACGCAGTTTGAACAATGAGTTTCCAGGTAGTATATTATATTATTATTTGTCTCTTGAGATCCTAGTTGAACATAGGAATTCAGTAGCACGTCACCGTTTCATTCCCTTCTCTACAATCTGTTTAACCTAACTCCACGACTACACATAAAATTCCATTTCTTCATCACACAATCTCCTCCATGTCACATTCACCTCAGACGCCCAACTCCTCACTCCCCATTTGGGTTCCACTTGAAGGCATGGCATGGTATGGCACGTGATGTCCACAAACTGTCTTCTCAGTGCATGTCCATTCAATCCATATCCACATTCGTCTGCATATTTGTCAGACGATGGGTTCTTGGTTGGTTTGTTACCAACCAGCCAGCCAGCCAGACAGCAAGCCAGCCAGTCAACCAACCACAGTTCCATGTTCCTTATTCATATTATTCTAGCCATCTGATCTGGTCCTCAGTATTGAGTGAGCGTAAACGGCAGATGTTGATGTATGTCTGCAGTTTGTTCGAAATGCTTTCCACAACGTGCCAACTCTCTCAACCATCACATAGAAGCACTAACTTGACTGAATCAGTGTTGAAAATAAGGATCCTGTTCACGCCTCATACCGAGAGCAGTGCAGTGCAGTGGATCTCCACACTGATTTCAGATGAATGCAGGAAGACCTGTATTGCCGTCTTTCCAATCCTGGCTTTAACATCCTCATCTGTGCAGTCGACTGCAGTTGAAACGATGCTGTCTGGGTAGGTGTAGGTGTAGGTGTAGGTGTAGGTGTAGGTGTAGGTGTAGGAGGGCAGCCTCCCTTACATTTCTTCCGTTCATGGTGATTAGTGCTTGTTGTTGATGCTGTTGTTGGTTGGGTATCTTCATCACCTATGTCTTCTTCACGTCCACCTGAAGGAAGTCTTTTCTTCACTGCTCGGCCTCTTCTCTCAACTTACTAATTTACACCTATGGATCTTCGAGTTTGTGCGACATTAGACATAGATCACCATCGTCGTTGACGAAATCCAAATCTTCTAGAGTTTCTTCATCGGTCCAGTCAGCGTATGCCCATCTTCTCACTCCTCACTGTTTGCTGCATCATCCAGTCGACCGGAATCAGGAAGATCATCGGTGATAGAAGGTGGCAGCCTTGTCTTACTCCTGTCTTCACTTCAAAGTCATCACTGAGCTTTCCATTGTGGATCACTTGATATGTGGCGTCTTCATATATCTGTTGAATGATGTTGATAAAGATTTATGGCACTAAAGTCGTAGTATTGAAGCAACTGGTAGTAGTTAAGTTTTGTTGCTTAAACGGTAAAGCATTAGTGCGATGATTTAGAAGCCTTTGTTTCCAAACACGCTATTTTTATTTAGTTTGCTGTATTTTTCTCGTCATAATTGTTTTGTGTAATGTATCATATATTCAGGTTATACTCTGTATGTATTAAGGTAAAACAGTTAAATGATGACCTTGCCACCATTATACACTCAAGTAAGCAAGACTAATTGTTTTCAAGGTAGTATACACTGCGCAATGACACCAGTTAAGAAACTATTGGAAAACCTAGTGGCCCTGAAGAGCTGTTTTGTCCTAGTATAGGAAATCTCAGGAGTGAGCACCCGTGACCACATCAGGGATTGAACCTTAGGCCATCAGTTTCACCAGCGATCACGCCGCCATTGAGTCACTGTGTTAGGATCCAGTTGTCAAATTCTATCTACTTCGGTCAATTACTGTTGGTTGTCATTGAAGAGTACTGCGATAAAGTTGTTATGTACAAGACAACAGTTATTACATATTTTAAATTTAAATCTGTTTTGATAAGAAGGCATAAGTTAGGAAAAGTTTTGAATTACTTATTGTAAGCAAACGAATCGGAAGTCTATTCTATGGATTGATTGGTTGAAGGGCTATTGAAAACCTTGGGAACACTGGACATCCGTCATTTTTCGTTGTCAGTTTATCTTTAAAACTTTAATGCAGCTAATTTTCTTTTGTATGGATAAGATATACTGATAAACTTTCTGGAGAATTCCAAAGATAAGTGATAGGAAGCGGGAAAAAATGGTAATCAACATTTTAAGTCATCTTCCGTTGAGGTAGAAGTGTTTTTGTTTCATAGTTTGATTTATGTGTGCAAAATAACCTTATTAGACGATTCTCAATATTGTGTTATTTTACCTTTGACCTAGGACATTTTTATGTATCCGGGTATTGTGTATATATATATATATATATATATATATATATATATATATATATATATATATATATATATATATATATATAGTTAATCAAATAAAGCGTCCTTTTGATAGCTTTTGATAGTTGAGTGACTCAGTGTAGAATAAGCTGCTGAGGGGGAATATTCATATTGGAATTGAGTTCTAGTGTATCCCTGCATTCAGTATCATTATTACCCACGTCTTATTCTACTGGATTTCGCCAACGATCATGATGATCTATGTCTAATGTCGCACAAACTCGAAGATCCATAGGCGAAAAGTAGAAGGTTGGCAGAAGAGATAGGGCAGCGAAGACGAGACTTCCTTCAGGTAGACGTAGAGAAGACAGAGGTGATGAAGATACCCAACCAACTACAGCATCAGCAACAACTTTATTAGTGTTTTCCATAATTTCTGAGAACGATTTTTTCGCCATTTGATATTATGCGTACGAACTCTACGAAGATACTAATCGTTTATTTTTCCTAGAGGCTGGTTGCTTGACTGTCGATACGTCATCCGACGTTTATTTCTTATTGACTAAGTAATTTTCATCAATACAGTTAAGTTACAAGGTGTTTTTTTCAATGATTTGATTACAAGTCAGTTTCAAGTGAAGAAATAAGAGGATTGTTTCTAAAGGATAGTCGGGTGATTATTATTTTACTTCAGTCTGAAAGGTTTCATAATTGAATACTGTTGAATTCTTTTTTCACTCAGAAGTCAGTTCAAATTTCACAGATAATTATTAGCTCATCTCGGACTGACAGACTTACCGAGGAATTTAATCTGAAAGCACAACTTGATTAGGAAACTGAGATAGTAATAGGAAATGGTTTAAATGAAAATCAACACTTTAAGTCATCAGGTGCTAACGTAAAACTTTTAGATTTCAACCTTTGTTTCATATCACTATGTGATCAGGAGAAACTTTGTTACACAATTTATCCTTCAGTTGACCAATCTAAATAACTAGTTAACTTTTGGCTTAATGGTTTTATATGTTATAAATGATGTACTTTTGTTAAGTAAAGTGTCTTCCTTACAGTTCACCGGCAGATCGTTGCCTTCTTATATATATATATATATATATATATATATATATATATATATATATATATATATATATATATATACGGCTTAGTAAAGTATAAGTTTTTAAGGGAGAACAATCACTATTCGTATGCATTCCAAGGGTTTCATCGCGCTAAAACCATTAACGTATTTATTATTATTTCACTCAGTCACCTCAGATAGTAAGTATTCCGGTACAGTTATTCCCTTGTGACACCAAACAGCTTTCATTATCAATAATAAACTGATAAAAATCAAAAATATTTCCCATTGGATTCTGAAAAATTAATTTACTCTTCAAAGTCAATCGACCATATCAAACTCAAATAGAATAGCTTTCTAACGATGCTTTACTACAAATCTACACATTTGAAGCGAAAGTTTTCAATCGAGTCGCCGATACTGAGAGTAAATGATTACTAGTGCATTTATGTTAGTGACCCTTGCACAGTATTGCTTTAAAATCTTATTGTATCTTTAAAAGAACTAAGTTTTATTCGACTTTTATTTAAATTCTTCAGTTTTTGAACGTCTACTTATATTTTCTCTAGATTTACTCTGTGTAATCGATAGACACTTTACTTATGTTAACTATCTACCTGGAAACAACATTACAAGTCTCTTTTTAATTTCTCACAGTTCCAATCACTCACAGTGACCCAACTTAGTTTTTATTTTTGCTATTTTCACCATTAATTTCTACATCTCCTGGAACCTTTTCAAATGTCCATTTGTAACGAAGCTCCAAAAATTAACTTGACGATTACTGAATGGACCAGTTCGGTCACTTAATATGATGAAAAACTACTATTGCAACAGAAATAAAATAACCAGCCTGGTTATTTCAGTAGCAGCCACAATGGCTTTCAGAATTATTGGAAATGAAGGTGTGAATTCCTTAGATCTAGCCTTCTTCACTTTTGTTGTTGGTATGTGTGAGAACAATTGTTCCCAATAAGCACTATTATATATTAAATGACCGGAATAGGCTGGCTGGCTTTAGGAAAACAAATCATGTGCCGATCAAACTGCTACGCATCATCATCACAGAACAGAGCGTAGAATGGCAGCCAGCTCTCAAGCTTACCTCAACTTTATCCACTTTGAAAAGGCCTTCGACAGAGTCGACCAAGAAGTAATTTGGCAACTGCTCCAACACTACAGATTTCGTGCCCACAAATCTTTATCAACATCATTCAACAGATATATGAAGACGCCACATATCAAGTGATCCACAATGGAAAGCTCAGTGATGACTTTGAAGTGAAGACAGGAGTAAGACAAGGCTGCCACCTTCTATCACCGATGATCTTCCTGATTCCGGTCGACTGGATGATGCAGCAAACAGTGAGGAGTGAGAAGATGGGCATACGCTGACTGGACCGATGAAGAAACTCTAGAAGATTTGGATTTCGTCAACGACGATGGTGATCTATGTCTAATGTCGCACAAACTCGAAGATCCATAGGTGTAAATTAGTAAGTTGAGAGAAGAGGCCGAGCAGTGAAGAAAAGACTTCCTTCAGGTGGACGTGAAGAAGACATAGGTGATG